TGCAGGTGCTGTTGTTGCGATGGTTGGCGTTGCTGCTTTTGCTGGTTGTGTGGGTGTTGACATGGTGGTTGTTGGTGCTGCTGTTGCAGGCTCACCAAGTTTCGCCGGCATGGCCTTGATCGGAGTCGTTGCTTTGGCTGTGTCTGATTCTGTTGTTGCTGTCATCACTGTTGCCTGTGGTGTTAGATATGTTGGAACTGCTGCTACAGTCGCTTCAGGTGGTGGTGCTGGTGGAAATTCTGTGCTCTCAGTAGGTGTTGGCATCGATGGTTGAGCTGGTTCTGCTGATGGTGGTTCTGCTTTTGGTATTGGTGATGGTGGTGCAGGTGTTGGTGTTGGTCTTGGTGCTGGAGGTGGTTCTGATGATGGTTGTCCTGTCTTTGGCAGTGGTGGTGGTGATGCAGGTGATGGGGTTGTTGATGGTGATACTGGAGATGGTTGTCCAGTTCGTGTTGCACTCCTGGCTGGGGCTTCTGTGGATGATCTGGCAGGTGCTTCTGCTGGGGTTTCGGGGACATCTGCATACGGATTATCACTAGGGGCTACGCCAATGGGAACATCTGGAGTTTCTTGGTACTGACGATTCATATGGCTATATAACCCATAGACTGTTGGGGGTAAACCTCCACCTCTCCTGGGAATGCTCTGGAATGCGTCGGTCCTAAACACAAGATGTCCCTGGGAGCCCTCTCTAGTGGAATATGTATCGCGTCCGCACCCCAGCTAATGGTATAGCTACCCGTGGCTGTGAGGGTGAGCATTTCCCTGCCAGGTGCCATTTCCAGCACGGCGTTGTGATTGCTCATGCTCCTCAAGCCAAGTAGTGCCGGGAGGTCACGGCCCTCCCCTTCTACCATGGGGGTTTCGAAGTTGAATGATACAGATTCGCCCCTAACCAAATGACCTTCACCTTCTTCCGGTTGAGAGCGGGGGTGGATGATGTTGGGTATTGCTATCGGCAATGTGGCAACATGCGTACAGCTTTGGGTACCCTGTCCTACTCCCCTGACGGCCATTGGGTTGGTCATGGACTTACGCGTCGACCTCAAGCCCGCATTCCGCGCGGCTGTGGCTTGGCGTTCAGCCCATTGCTGACCTGCTAGATTGGTCCATGCCCCTGGATCAACTACAATTGATTGATGACCAGGCACTTGGGTGGATGAATGGTATGTGGATGCGGCTCCAGTTGCCTCTGCTGTCTCAGGCCACCATGGAAAAGTGGGTGTCCCGTGTGGTGTCCTAAACTCATCGTGTTGATCTGCTCTTGGAGATGTGGGTGCAACGTAGCGATAATGTGCAACTACCTGTCCCCCACCGCGGCAGCATGGGCATGTTGGATTTTCTTCCCTCAAAAGAACTTCAGTCCAACAATTTTCATGGAAGGTATGCCTGCAGGTCAATCGCACCAGTTGTTCTCCTGCACTATATTCTTCCAAACAAATGCTGCAGCGGTGTTCATCCCCTAAGTATTCAACATTGGGTTGTCCGACATTTGGAGTTACCATGGGTTCTGTGGGATTATTCGAGGGTGTTACTGTGGGGGCCGGATTCACCTCACTCCTCGAACCTTCCGATTCACGAGTCCTCATCTCCTGCAGTGTCATCATCGTCCGGTGCTGATGATGAAGAGCACGTACCTGCGGATGATTGAATGCTGGCTCACTGACCCTTTCTGATACTCTAGAAGCTATTGGGATCTCACGCAACTGGTTTGCTTGATGAAATTCCCCCACAACTTGACTACGGATCGTGTCAAGTGTGCTGATAGCATTCTCTGAGACAATCGGATGATAGGTCGGTGCACGCACCTCCGAGGCAGTCCCCTGCAAGAAATTAAACTCGGGCATCAATGCCCATTCTGGCAACTCCGGGGTCGGATGTTGTAGGATCACTGTTGGGATCTCCCCTGGTCCCACGATCAGTGGGTGTTGTGGCACTTCGTGCCGATGGACCGGTGGTGGTTGCATTGGTGGTGGTTGCGTGGCTTGGGCAACATATGGTTCTTGGATAGTAGTCGATTCTGCAACAGGTTGCTGTAAAAATGGTTCGCTAGTTACATTTCTGCCCTGTGGATTAGTGGGGTTATTCTGGGGAAGATTATTCATTGGATTAGTGGCTAGTGGGGTGTTATGGGTAAATTGGTTCATCACTGGCGGTCCAAAAGATCGTGGTTCTGTGGTCGGATGCATCAGGCCATTCAGGCCATTGAAGACACTCTGCATGTACAAGGATTGATCGGCCATATCCACTGCCCGGGTCGTGCGCGGCAGTGGTGGCATTGGATTCACAATCCCCCCAATGACCTGTCTCCCAGTCCTGCTCTCGGTGTACCGCCTCCAAGGATCACTATTGGTCCACGGGTCCTGAGGTGCTGCTGGTAATGTGGATGCATTGGATGGGGGTCCACCAGAAACTGTCGACCAATGATCAGTTCCGGATTCTTGTCCAACATTAGCATCTACTTCATTGACCATGAGGACCGTGGTTGATGTGATTACACCTGGGGGAATCTGGTCGGCGGTGTCCAAGTCTACGAACAAGTTCTGAGACGAGTCATTGGCTGCAGCCCGTCTTGGGCACTTGGCAACCAGATGATCTTCCGAACCACATTCGTGGCATCTCATCTTACGTCCATCCGGGCCTCTTGGATTGCCCTTTCTGCCCTTACCCTTGCCACTCCCTGCCCCTTTCTTTCCACCTTTTGCCCTAAAGGCAGGGAAAATTTCCATGAGCTGGGATTCATTGAGTTCGGACAAATAAGATGAAGTATTGATGATCTTGCCTTTGGGTTTTCCATGTTTTGATTTACCACCCTTTCCACCTTTGTAGATGGCTCTGCGGGCAAACCTCCGAGCTTTTCGGGTCGGCTTGCCCATGAATGACCTCCAGCGTGCCTTAGCACGAGAATAGGCCCAGTAGAGCTCGGCAGCCTGCTCATTGGCCGTGGCACCCTCAGCAGCTGGCCAGGCTTCTTCGCCATAGTCACTGCTGGTGTCAGTGTCAGTGCCACTGTCACCCTGGCCCTCTGACAAATACACGTATGGATCTTGCGGCTGTGTATAAGTGGGGTATGCTTCGGGTGAATGCCATTGGGATTGCCAAGAACTCGGGTCGTGCCATGAGCTACTGGGTTGGTCATTCTGAGATGTGAATACATTTTCATTCCATGACTGCTCGTCCTGAATATGGTAACTGTGTGTTGGATGTTGTCTACCCCGCAACATGTTGGACATGTTTCCTGGTGCATTTTCAATGATCCTACCCATACGTCTGATGGAGTCTTTCAACCCTGTGAATTGCTGCTCATCAGCAGGGAGAGCACCACCGAGTGGCTGTAGAAGTTGGATCAATTGAGAATCCGAGACACCTACGGCACGGATCAGCAACCAAGAAAGACCAGCATAGCTCAGGGCGAGCCCACCTGTCTCTGCCGCACGCATGCGGGTAGTATCAAACCTAGCCAGCAGCATGTCGATCCTTTCATTGGATTCCCTTCCAAATGACAACAGATCTCCTACTGCCCCTAGCCGGACTTCCTCACCGAGCCTGGCAAATCGGGTGCTAAGTTGATACATCAAAAACGTTAGTGGGTCGGTTTGGGTACCATTTACGGTCCCCCCTGTCAGAATGGTCTGCGGCGGAAGTGTTCTGCTGAATTCCCTGGCTGATCCCTGCAGTTGAGAAATCACACTAGCCGCCTTTCGAGATGCATCCCCATCTGTAGCAATGCTCCAAATTAAGATGTCCCTAGACCAAGTACTGAAGCTATACTGATGCTCCATTTCTGGGCTCCATGCGGGGGGCAATCTTGGATGGTTACTCCTTCCTGGCACCATGCAAGCCACTAATGCACATGTGCTAAGGCCGCCTCCAGCGGCTAGCAATAGTGTCGAATCCGAGAGCGATCTACCATCACGGTGACCAGCGGTCATCGAACCCGAATTGACATGGGCTTCAGGAGACTTCACCTTCCGATTGCCTGCTTTGGATCCGGTCATGCATTGGTTCCTGGATCTAATGGCTGCATCTTTCCCATAGATCAGCTCACAGAGTTCCTTGTGACGGGACTTCAGATGTTTCAGCTTAGAGTCGTACATGTTTAGCATTCTTTCAAACACTAATCTCTACTGCCGTCTGAGCCGCCTACGCAATAGCTCTGCCCTACGCTGATCCCGAGGGTTCGTTTTGAACTTCCTCCTTGAGTGGTGCAGCCGCACCAGGGCCGAATTCAGCTCCTGCCTCCACTGATCCCCATTCACCAGACTGGGCTTGTACTCGCCTTCGGGCCTGGCCTGTACTGGGGCTTTGCGACCATTGCTCGCTGCATACCAGTGTGTAGTGACACTGATCGAGCCTGCCCCAACCGCACTGGACTGGATCACAAGAGCGCTGGTATTGCGACTCTTGATCACCAGCCCAGTACTGGCTGAGACAGACCCCACCAGTGCCACTACTAACACGGCACACAACTTCAGCACGGCGGTGAACATGATGACAATCAATGGAGTAAGGATGAAAAGAAAATGAAAACAGTCGAGTCGACCCTTAGGGTATAGCAGATACCTTAAATGGGGGTTACTGCCGGGGTTCCCGGCTCCGCTACCAACTCGAAAAATAGAGGAACTAAAGTGACAAAGAAGTACTGTTTCCGCAAATGTCTGTTTTCCTCTGTCCGCTTGTGACGAAGTCTTGTGTTTACCTAGGTCGAGCTCTAGAGCCAGAACAGTTACATGGACAACAATGTACCTGAGGCATGGTAGATCATGTACCTTTCAAGTATCCCAACAAATTTATCCATCTATTCAGATTAATCATATCTGACATTTTAGTCATTTTAGCCATGGAAAATCAGCCATGGATATAGTGATATAGTATTTTAGAGTTGATTTACCTATTACAATTATTAACCATAATTAACCATTATTCAATAGATTAACCATAGATTTACCTTATTTTTTCAAGGAGATCTCCAGGAACTCCCCAGGTTTTCTTCAAGGTGCCGGTGCCGAGGACGTGGCCGGCACCGTCTCTGCGGCCTCGTCTTCGAGGGTCGTGGGCTCCATCTCTTCGTCCTGCGGAATGGGGAAGTGATATGTGAGGATAATGGTACTGAGATATAATATGTACATGTATAGATAGATAGATGGATAGATAGATAGATAGATAGACAGACAGATAGATAGATAGATAGATTAGATAAAAAAAGATAGATAGATAAAAACAAAAAATAGATAGATAGATAGATAGATAGATAGATAGATAGATAGATAGATAGATAGATAGATAGATAGATAGATAGATAGATTAGTTAAAAGATATATATATATATATTTTAAGAAATATATATATATATATTTCAAAAAGATAGATAAATGGATAGATAGATAGATAGATAGATAGATAGATAGTTGATTGATTGATCGGTAGATAGATAGATAAAAACAAGATAGATAAAAACAATATATAGATATATAAAAAAAATAGGTAGTTTTTGTTTTTTAATATATAGATAAAACAAATATAGATAGATTTAAAAAATATAAACAAATATAGATAGATAAAACAAATAGAAAAATAAAAACATATAGATAGATAGATAGATAGATAGATAGATAGATAGATAGATAGATAGATAGATAGATAGATAGATAGATAGATAGATAGATAGATAGATAGATAGATTAGATAGATTAGATAGATAGATAGATAGATAGATAGATAGATAGATAGATAGATAGATAGATAGATATATTTGATAAGATTAGAAAATATTAGATAAGGTAAGATAAGACAAGATTAGACAGATTAGATAAGGTTAGATAAGGTTAGAACAGATTAGATAAGATTAGACAATATTAGATTAGATTAGATTACATTAGAATAGATTAGAATAGATAGATAGATAGACAGATTATATGATATACAATGATATATAATGAGATATGATGAGATATCATGGTCTATAATGATAACCATGACTGAGATTTCATGGGATTAAACACAAACTGGGGGATATACCATGGGAACTAGATTCAATATGAACATGACATATGGTGCTTGTAGAAAGGATAATATTGGGATGTGAATGGAATGATAATGGAAGATACATGTAATAATGATGGGAAAATAATAATGCGATATTATTTTATAATATGAGGACAACAAAAAACTGGAATTTGATGGAGTAACGGAAAAATAATGGGATATATAATGAGATATATCATGGGATAGTTATGTTATATTGTTTGGGATATTGTGGATGGAAGAAATCCTGCACCACCTTGGATGGTTGAAACCTTATTAAAAATGGGATAAACATGGATAAACCATCTATCAACTGGTGCGGGGTTTCTCAACCCCATCCACCGTATGAGATTTTTCATGGACCGTCCCTGAACTGACTGGAGGTTTTTCCCGTTATGGTGGATTTTGCAGGTTACCAACTGGTAAACGTTTACATAACTATGGAAAATCAATATTTTTAATGTGTAAATCAACTATTTGAATAGGCCAACATAGCTGATTTAGTTAACTATTAAATAACTATTGTTTATTGACTATTGTTTATTGACTATGGCCATTAAATAACTATGTTTCTATGGCCATTTTCAAAAGCTATGTTGAATTGCCGAAGGGTCATATATTCCTTTCATGGTAGGATGGTGAACAATAAAGAGCATAGAGGCACACCAGCACATGAAAACATAGTTTTTGACTGCAAAAAACAGTAGCGATACTTTGATTTATGTCATCACTTGGGTCATATTCATTGTAACATTACTATTAATATATGAATTTGAGGAGTAGCTACAAATCACCATGGATGGGTCACGGATTTCCAGTCGCCACGTGATGGGATGATTCTGCCCTCCCCGAATCCTGATGACAGGAAGATACAGTAAGTAGAGTGAGGTGAGACAACCTGCCTAAAATCCATCCAGGATATACATTGCGTCATTATGTGCATTGAATCATTGACAAGTCAAGTAACATTGCATTTCTTATCCCAACTATCAGAGTTTGTACTTGGGATATTTTGACACTAACATCTGATATATCTCAAGTAACATTCGAGAGTTGGTGTCAAAATATCAGAGTTGTGTCGTTCAAACCCCATGATTGGTGGTTTCAAATTTCAGTGCTACTTAGATGAATAGCAACCTCAAACCTCAAACACAAACTGGACAATTTGTACATGAAATTATAGTATATAATTGACAAACACATGAAACACAATTACCACTAGAATACTTGGTCATATATTTGACCGATTTGCTTTAGACAAATAATCCAGCTGAGATACCCAGAATCAATTCCTCTATCCCAATTATCCCATCTCATTGTACTAGTTGGTTGATAGGTTTCCCGACGACATGGCTTCGTTGATAGTCTCCCAGCAACCCAGGTAGTATTACTTCCTCTTTCATACCCAATCACCAATTATTTATCAGTGAATATCAATTATATCATGTTCCCAGGTGTCTGTTTGTTTTTTCTTTACCCAATATCATATTTGATGGTTACTGTAAAACATGTAAAAACCCATAGTAGATGGTCAAATCCCATACTTGATGGTTAAATTAATGTTGAGTCATACAAAATATCATTAAAAACATATCCCGCAAATTTCATCACCAATCCACCAGTCATTGGATTGGTTTTGGGCAAAAAAAATACTGGAAACAGTCCGGAAACCATGGTTTTTCTTATGACATGTGGGGCTTTCCGGTTTCAAGATTCTCTTCCAATTCAATCCACCAGGCGATTTTCTTCACATCCTCCGGCATCTCCAAAGCAGCTGCCACTTGAGCAGCGCGCGCCACATCGTTGACCTATCGATATGTTGGGAGCTTCAACGGCTCCAAGAAACACGGTGCTTTAACGATTTAACCAAAAGAACTGCCTGAAAAAAACTTGTTTTTTCCATGTGAATCGAAAGAGCTGGTTGAACAACGGTTTACTAAAATCTAAAGAACATGTCGTGATACTGTGATGTTTGAGCAAAAACGGTGATTTAATTGATGCGCCAATAGAATTGATGTTTCTCAAAAACAAAAGGTTTCACTCACGAGTCATGGAAATTCTGTTTTACCTCATTGATTCTTGATACTATCTGATGTTGATTTTCCATTTAGAATAAGAGTGTCAATGACACTTCTAACCAAGCATGATCCTCTAAGCAATCCCATCTATGCATCTAAGTTTGAACAGCCAACCCCAAATTTACTACAAGTATCTACAAGTACAAAATTGAAGTGGTACCATCTGGTTGTTTAACAAATCGCCATGGAAAATCACCATTTTAATAGGTAACCCATCTATTTCTATGGGCCATTCTCCATGGCAAACTGTTAGTCATAACCAGAGGGTAAACGTACTGGCAAAATCCTGATGTCGCAAACTCGACGAGTTTGATTGCTAAGATCTCTGAATGAGTGGTGATCACAGCCTATTACCTTTCCAGTAGTTTAAAGTTGTGGAACATATATGAAAATAACGCATTTGTAGATGATCTACCGGTTTGAAACAGTGATTTTCCAAAACTATTTTAAATGCCCGAGTGTAGTCTTATTTTCTTTTTGACATGGTGGTTGAACACCAGCTTTAAAACATGTCATCCAGCAATGCTGTCGCCCCAGCTTAACCACTGACAATCCGACAATGTTTCCTGCTAACCAACGGACCATCATCCATGTTCACATATTCTCCATGTTCACATTGTCGGTGTATCCAACATCTCCAACCCATTTCAGAAGACAAACCAGAAACAAACAACTTTTCCGATGACACCATATTTTGTGGGGATGTTCCCTTACGTAGGCCTTATATAGGCCGTATATATGGTAGGCACCTCCAATTTAGGTTCCTGAATGGCCATTGACTGATATTAAAAACCAAGCATGTCTGGGCTACCAAAATGCATAGGGCCAGTACTAAACCAGTAGACAATGTAGACAAACAAGCAAAAACATGGTTGCTCCCAAACACCTCAAGTATTCAAACACAAGGGGGGAAACTGGGTAGACAAAGAGACAAAGAGGTAGTTACTGGCAGATTTCCCCTCCAAAAAAGTGGCCAGCATTGATCTATGGGCTACATTGTGAAATCCAATTGTTTGATAATTAAAACATGTTGAAACATGCTGGTTGGTGGTATACCTGCCCTCTGAAAAATATGAAAGTCAGTTCGGGTTACTATTCCCAACATATGGAAAGTCATCAAATTCATGTTCCAAACCACCAACCAGCATGTTTATAATTAGATTATTTTCTAAATGGTAAAATCGATGTAAATCAATGTTTTCCTTTTGATTTGCTTCAGGGGCCCGAAAAAAATAACAACAATCCGGTGGATGAACCAATGGGAAAATACTAAAATTCACCTTTAACCTTCAGGAATATAGAGGGTTTTCCTATATTTTCCCATGTTAGAACCAATTCTATAATGATAAAATCTAGGTTTACTATTGTTTCTAAATCCAAATTCAACCATAAATCTCCCCATAAGATCTTCATATCCCCATACAATGCTGGGTTTTCTCAGCCAAGGCACCCGCCACAGCAGTTCCGTGGCTTTCGTCAACGCCGCAGCGCCACGCCGCGGAAAGGACGGCGGAGCCGATGCCACGCCGACGCCGATGCGCGTGGCATCGACGGTGTCCTGCCCGGTCGATGGTTCACAAGGTGAGTCATCTTAAAAATACCTTGGTTCATCGGTTAGTAACTTTACTAAATATACCATTTATACCATTTACAATGTGGGGCCCCAAAGATAGCTAAGTTAGTTTATAGCTCCAATAACTATGGTTTATGGTACTTATAACTATAGTTAATGGGGTTCATTAACCAACTTACAACTGGGGGGCCGGCCCCACATTGTAGGGATTTTTTGTTTACTAACTTTACTGGGGAAATCAGGGAAATATATACTAAATATATGATAACATATGGGAATATGATAAGGGAGTCATACCAAATTCATTGGGGAATATGATGGGAATATGATCATCCCACAGTACAGGATTCGGGGCCCCCACTCGAGCTCGCGTTCAGTTGCCGAACAGAAAAGTGGCTGAATTCATCTGAATTCTATGGTTTATGGTAGATATAACATGATTTATCTATAGTATTCATGGGGTCTATAACTTATAAGTGGCTGAATTCTATGGTTTATGGTAGATATAACAACTATAGTTAACGGATCTTAATGGGGTTTATAAACTTTATACAGTAACTGGGGGAAAAATATCATCCTGTCGGGAAAGCGTGAACTCAGATATGGCTCTGTGTTGTGGTGTTTTCCTGGTTGTAAGTTGGTGTATAATGTCCATCAAGTATAGATATGGAGGTTTTCCAAAATGGAGGGGTAATTCAGTCATCATCCAGCTATTTGTTTGGGATTTTCCATCATAAACCAACATAAACCAACCATGCTTGGGTACCCCCATTGTAGGAAACCACCACATATCTACTATAAACTCAACTTATTGGAGTTATGATCACCAACTTAACGAACTGGGGCACCACTGCACGTATCAATTCATCCCAATCAGGAGTGTTTTGAAGCCATCTATGGGACAAGCCACTTATGGAAAGCTTCATTGCAAGGGTAATTACATGCAATTACCATATGCAATAAAGATTCATTGGGGCCATTGGGGTATAAAGTTGTTTGAAACAATTATTTGAAATATTAGTTTTTGAACAAAAACGCAAAACGACTTCACTAATTCTTATAAAGAAATGGCTGTTAGGTACTCAGCTGGGTCGGTGCAACGATATTTTACGGAAGACCATAGATTTCACTTAAAAAATCGCATCTTGGGTCATGGACTAACCAACCAAAAGTTAGTATTTAATCAAACAAATTAATAACCTATAAAGAAACCCAAGAATCTCAAGAATGAAACCAATGACCGGTATTACAATTTGTAAAGAATACGGATTGAACCAAGCAGGAACTGCCAAATGTAGATAAACAAATCAAGACTTACTGTGCTCAACAGGTCAATCATCTTCCAGTAGCCCTATGTTAAAGGGCAATTACATCAATTTTCAACAGGGCGAGTGTCCAAATAGGAAGGCTAACGCTTCCAGCATGCACGGAAAAAAAACACCTGGAGACACCGATTAGGATATATTAACACAAACTGGTGCCCCCTTTTTTTCAGTACAGTATGTTTGTTGGCTTATAATCCCTGTATAGTTATATCCCCCTAATCAGCCCTTGTTGTTGGAGTTATGATCCAACGAATCGCCAACGAACTGGGCCACTGGGGAAACTTCTTGCATGGTGGAGGTGCCAATCAGAGAGGGCGACACACGGCAAACTTGAAGTCAAATCTTAGACACACGACTGAATATTGTTGGATTTACCACTTAGCCTCTGGTAAACTAACAAGCTAACATAGCTATGGAAAATGACCACTTATACTGGTTGGTGGTTTCAACCCCTCTGAAAAATATTAAAGTCAGTTGGGAGTATTCCCCCCAATATATGGGAAAATAATCCAGTCATGTTCCAAACCACCAACCAGATAAAGTGATATAACATTTTAGAGTTGATTTACCTATTACACATTGTTTTTGTTTTTTTTTCGAAAGTCATGTTCGTTTACCAAAGGCTACCAAAGGCACGCCAGCACACAATTGGGAGTTGGACATGCAGGATGACAGCTTGGGATCGCCCATGTCCCTGCCATGTTGACACCAAAAAAGTAAATTACCATTGATATCCCTATGATGGTTGAGATATCTTCTATATTCCGTGACATTCCCATAGACTTTTCCCATATTTCTCTTGCCATATTTTTCTTGGGTTCACCAACTATTCTTCCAGGAATTCATCTGCGGCCAAGACACAACGGGCCAGATGCCTCCCTTGGAGGTCTCCATGATATCATCATCCCATCCAGCCGAAAGGCCATAGGACATGACCGCCGCCCGAGCCGGGGGTCTTGGGGCCACCCCGATTGATGTCGCTGTGAAATGGCTGGCAGCTGGAAGGGACACGAGTATTTTTCAGGATACGGCTGGAGGACCATGCCTAAGTGGTTAGTAAATGGCTTAATACAATTTATACCATTTATGACCCAGTTACAAATGGGATTATGGGGACTTAGTAACAACGGTAACCAGTTACTAGCTGGGATGACCAAGAAGAAACCTGTCACCGGCTATAGCATCACTTACCTATCAATGTTGTTTAGTGGGGAGTGACCATGTTTGACCCCCATCCAAGAACATGTTTTTTTTGGCCTGATAGTCTACTGGAAATCCCACATGCAGTTCCTCACTTGCGATCTGATCAAACGGTTGAGGAAACATTCACTGGTTGGTGGTTGCCAGCGGGCGCACCAGGCGCCTGGTAATTTCGTGTGTTTTCTGTGTTAAATGGGTTCGTTGGGGGGTGGGTGGGTGGGTGGGTGGGGATGTTAACGTTCATTGGACTTGACGTGATGCTACGCTACTGCACTTACGTGATGCTACGCTACTGCACGTTCTCTTCAATTTACACAACTACGTGATGCTACGCTACTCCACCTTCTCTTCAATTTACACAACTACGTGATGCTACGTTGACTGGGTTGGGGGGGTGGGTGGGTGGGTGGGGGGGGATGTTAACGTTCATTGGCATTGGCGGAATCACCAAAACAAAGAGTTTTGCCGCCTGCTCACTGACATCAACAGTACCAAGTTGTCTAAAATCGCTGGCACGCAGCAAATCGACCGACAATGGTTGAGTCTGAAGAAATTTGTTTTTTCCAATCTTCACAGAAAAGTGAAGACTTTCGTGGGGTCAGAGGTGAATCCATCTCTGCGACGTCGTTGTTTCCAATATGTGTGGAGATGTAATCTCCAAACTTGTACACCACTGCTCATGCTGAAAGAGCTGGCAAAGTTGGTGAAAAACAACGACGCCGACAACTGCTAAAAGAGTTGAAAAGAGACGTTAAGATGCAGAAACGCTATAAAAACGCCATGCGCCTGACGCGCCCGCGACCTGGTGGTTTCAACCCCTCTGAAAAATGATGGACTTCGTCAGTTCGTCAGTTGGGATGATGATTCATTATTCCCAACTGAATGGACAGTCATAATCCATTCATGTTCCAAACCACCAACCAGATATTCGGGATGTTTTCGGCTTCTTGAAATGTCGACTGTCGACTTGTGACCCAACTTAGGATTCTCCAATGGGCCCATTTTTGGTGGATTTGAGATAGTGATCAACCATGACATTTGGGCTGGTTGGTGGTTTCAACCCTCTGAACAATGTGTCAATGGGAAATATTATCCCATATATTCTGGAAAATAAAACATATTTGAAACCACCAACCAGTGGGGTATTTTAAGGCAAAGTCAAGTGGTGGTACCCAATCAAACACAGCCCACAAACATGAGCCAAACCCGTCAAAACAACACACCCAAATGATCCAGAAAACGGCTTCATCTTAGTGGGGCAAGTTTAGTTTCGTCAAGAATCCAGCATACAATCCCTTCAGTGTGTTTGTTAGTGTATGTTGGTGTGTATCGGCTATCTATTGGAATATTCTATTCCATGTTACATGGTATTCCAAGAACAATTGAAAAATCATATTCCCCCATTAAATTGATATATCTTCCAATATATATATATAATCCCCATTACATGGTATTCCAGTTAATCATTGGGACACATTGGATGCTTTCCCTCTCCACAATTCATCGGCTAGAGCCCCTGGGTATCCCAGCCATTCCATTTCACCTGGACACCGCAGAGGCAACACCTACCCTTGCACTCCCCTTGCACCCCGCGAAAAGATAGAGACCGTATACGTAAAATCCGTTGGTGAAACAGTGGTGAATAAGCGTTGCATCTTGTTGGGGGGATTACTTAAAATAATTAGAAGAATTAGACGTGCTTTATTTTGTAATTATTGTGTTAATATGAAGTTATGATTAGAATCATGTTTGACGCCCTTCATCTTCCCCAAAATAATAACAATGTTCGTCGCCTGGTTGGGGAAGATGAAGGGCGTCATCTTCATGATTCGTAGTGGCCAAACAACCCAAACAACTAGATCCACGATCCACCAACGATCGAAGAAAATCTCCCCTGACTGCTTTCACTATCTTTGATATTGCTTGATAATGCGTAATATATATATATATATATATTTATAATTCACAAATATATGTAAAACATATTTTATAATCCATCTGGAAGAACTAAATGAAATCATTATGATTTCAGCAACCCAAAACGAACATATACTGTACACGTTTTTTGAAATTCTTCACAGCTCATCACCCGAAATCAAACCAGCAAGTCTAGTGTTTCTTTCGATCGCCTGCTCTGAAAAGAATCCGATTTCTTTAGGAATGATTCGGGGCAAATTACTTTTTGGGAAAACCCCCTCCTAACCATCATGAACATGGTGACACCAGAGGGTCGGTTGGAACATAATTTGGACAAACATGATTCCCTTCAATGATGGCCATATGGTTATATATCTATATCAATTAAACTTAAACTGTAGTCCCATATTATATATGCGTAATATCCGCATTTAATCCCACAAGTCTAGGGTCTAATCAATCCGACAGAATGATCGACCACCATCCCCAAGTTGCGTTTATGATTTTGAATATTTGTAGATAACATGTCGCAAATAGTTGGTTAATCACACATCATCCCACATGATAGCCCCATAATTATCATAAGTGTAGGTTACAGGCTAACCCCCCAAACAACTTGACAAGTTTCCCATGTCTTTTGTCCCAAATCTCCATTCTTTGGGGGTAATCCATGTAGCTTTTTCACCACCTGATTTATCCCAGGTATGTGGTGCTTCAAACCTGGGCCTGGCCCAGAAGTCGAATGATGCGCCGGTGGGAGCCCATCCTCGGTGGGGTGGTGGAAATCCCAGCCGAAAGCAGCCAGAACCATGGGCTGTTGATTGAAGTTGATGGTTGAGCCATGTTGATCCATCCCATCTCGACCCTCTGGTAAACATACAAAAAGCTATTGAACATGGCGCAGTCGAAATAGTGAGCTTTCCCATTAACAATGGTGATGTTCCATAGTTATGTTAGTTTACCAGAGTGTATCTCTAACGGACAATTTCGACATTGAAACCACCATGGGATGATGCGACATTTTGCGGAAAAAAAAATCCAGTGGATTCCTGTTGTTTTTCCCTTGAAACCTTGATAGAAAGGGACAAACCTGGAATATGGTGATGGCTACAATCAATGGATTGGTTTAAGGGACAACCTTAATTAATCGGAAACCAGAGATTTTCCTATGTTTCATATGGGGTGTTCCGGTTTCAATGTTCCCTAACAAACCAATCCATTGCTACCAACCCATTGAAAAACTGACCAGCGCTCGCCGCTTTTTGGCGCAATGAACTCTAAGCGTCCCAGCATTGTTAAGATCCAGGCTTCTTGCACGAGCCTCGGCCAGCGTGTATCATCCGGGTAGCCACTCTTCACTCACTTTCTTTCATTATTGATGGGGTATGGGTCAAAATATAGATATTATGACTAAATGACGACTATGTATATATATATATGTCTATAATTGGATATATGATTATGGATTATATTATACTGGCTAATAATATATATATATATATCCAACAATATATGGATACTATCATATGATATATGGTTCTGTTGATATCTGATAATGACTATTGATTTGTGATGCATATGTTTTGGTCAAAACCCTAGTGCCCGTTTTCGCAGCCTAGACGTGGTTTACCACTCAATACGGGGATGGGTCAAGTTACCTATGAAATTAGCATATGACTGGGGGAATAAGCATCCACCAAGTACCCAAGAATCCTCTGGACGGGTTAACGTGGCTTCATCTTTCGGGGTTTCCCCATGGTAACTACTGTACGTTTGATCATTATACTCCCAAAAAAACACATAGTTTGATACATGCCCACTATAAGTTTTGGAATTAATATCCCCATTGCATTCCATAAAACATCCCCCAAAGAACTGCGTCCCCGTTTTTCAAGGTCAGAAACCGCCCGGCAGTCTGAGAATCAAACATGTCATGCCCAAGTTGGTCCTTTCTGCCCGGTTGGTGCCGCTCATCTGGTTATTGAACAAAATAAGAGCGTACAACATGTGGATGGATGAAGCACTTCAGGTGGCAAATCGAATCTAATCCACCAACTTTTGTGTGTTTGCTTCATAAAATCCATGCTGATCTTTTTCGTAAGGGGTGTTTCTGGCTTGCTAAGGTGGGGTTAACAAGTCATGATTCGTCCGATTTGATCGGGAGGTGGCACGTGGTTCACACCCTCCGGACCTGAGCCTGACCTAGAGTCAATGAAGATACCTCCAAAACGTCAAAAAAAATCTGGTCATTTGGCGCAGCGATGGAAAATTACCCAATTGTCAGTAGATTGTATATATATATATCTGGTTGGTGGTTTCAACCCCTCTGAAAGATATTAGTCAAACGGGATTATTGTTCCCAATATATGGCAAAAAAAAATTCATGTTCCAAACCACCAACGAGTATGAAATACATATTTATCTGCCTATAAACCATTTATCTCTTTATGAAACATTGTCATTTTCCATAGTAAGATTACCAACCAAAAAAACTCCGGCCCCCAACTTGAAACAATTTCTTGACTTCCGGCTCCATCTATCAGATATGACCGGGGTATCGGAAAACAACAACAACAACAGCAACAACAACAACAACAGCAACAACAACAACAACAACAACAGCAACAACCTTGGTGCATGTGTTTTTTTTTTCGAAACTTGTTTATAAACCCATATCTGGTTGGTGGTTGAGCCCTACCCCTCTGAAAAATGATGGAGTTCGTCAGTTGGGATGATTCTTCCCAATATATGGAAAAATAAAACATGTTCCAAACCACCAACCACATATGTAACTACAAATATATCCACCGTAAACC